CTATGGGATTGTCGGTAAGTGGGAAGCTTACATTATACTTTTAGGACTGCCTGATGGCCTACTGTTTAAAAGCCGGCAGGTAGGATGTAGGACTGCGTGTAGGGCTACTGTTTAAAAGCCGGCAGGTAGGATGTAGGACTCTCTGTTGGCCTACCGTTTAAAGGCCGGCAGGTAGGGTGTAGGACTGTCTGTAAGCCTATTGTTTCAAAGTCGGCAGTTAGGATGAAGGACTGTCTATAGGCAAACTATTTAAAAGCTGGCCGTTAGGGGGTAGGGCTGTATGTACACCAACTTTTAGAAAGCAGTCAAGCATGGTGTAGGGCTATCTGTAGGCCTATTTGTCTTAATACCCGAACTTGATGTACAAACAGTTGCACCCGGTTAAGCCCCATACGTTTAACAACTCTACAGGCTGTCGTGAGAGGTTTCTCCGACGAGATGCTGTTTGTCGCCGAGACCACACAGCCGTTGATCGCCCCGGTAGACATCACCATCTGCGCCACCGCATCTTCCTGCACCACGAAGAGTTCAAGGTAGGTTAACTTCCAGGCGCCCGCAATGGCTTCCGGAGTCTCACGTGAGAGGCGCCTGTCCATCTGTTCATGTCACGCAGCACTCACTTTGTTATGTCATCAAACAATGAATCGCCCTTCAAAACACTTATCACCGCTTGGTGTTCGCATTTGTTTATAGTTTTGAGAATGCTTCATTCGCAGGATTACTTAGGCACTCCACCAGCATACCCAATTGTAAGGTAGCAAACAAGCAATGCGGTGAACCGATTTCGATGCGCCCACTTCGGTGAGCCACTGCGGTGAGCCATATTCGATGAACCGATTTCGATCAGCTAGTTTCAGCGCGCCGATTTTGATGAGCCAATGCGGTGAACCACTGCATGAAGCACTGTGGTGAGCCAATGCGGTGAGCCAATTTCGATGAGCCGATTTCCGTGAGGTATTGCGATTAGCAAATTTCGGTGAGCCAATGCGGCGAACCAATGCGTTGAGCCAATTTTGATGAGCCGATTTCGGTGAGGCAATGCGGCGAAACAATGCGGCGAGACAAAGCGGTGTGCTAGCCATTGTGGTTAGGCAATTGTGGTGAAGTTCGAATGGGAATTGTATTCCCCATTGTTGCTAAATTGAAATGTGAGTTATAGAAACGTTGATGAAATAATCAAACTAATGAATATCATAAAGATAGTCATAAATGGTGTAAAGGGACAGACAAATCATCTGAAGATAGTTGCCACTTGTCAATAATGTCATAAGTAAAAATAATTTAGAGAATCACGTGTGAAGAAATGTTTCTATTTGCCAAGTTGTTTTGTTTGTAGGTAATTCATTCACACCGTATTTAAAAAAAAGAAAGAATGTTTCTACCTGACGATGACATTGCCTTGTACTTCCACAAGGTTTACCTATGCCATCCCACTGGAGATCGTCTACTTGACTCCGTTACAGACCTGGAACCCTTACAACCTGTCAGTCACCGAGGTAAGCCGTTGATCCTATTTTATGGTTAGCCAGTCCACACGATCACGACTGCTGACTGACTGATTGTCTGCTGTTTGCTAAATACTGTCGGCAAGCTGATGTCGGACTGGTTTACTGGGGCTACCCTATCTAGCTGCTGTGTAACTTGCTGCTGTCAGATTGTGTGTTGTCTAAGTGGATGACGTCTGACTAGCTGCTTCTAATTGAGTTGTGTCAAAGTCAGATATTTTTTTTTATGTTCCTCCTCTAGAATCTGAGTATTCCGCCCAAAAATGGCCGAACAGGGAGTTTGACAATCAAAGAGAAGGCCTTCAATGGAACTGCTACCAAGGTTTACCATTATCTCACACCGGCATCGTTCTATAGCAGTAGTACAGGAGAGGTAAGTAGTGCATGGGTTGAGGGGGGGGGGTCGGAGTTACAGGTTTGAATCTCGTTTAAAAACAAACTTAAAAAAAAAAAATTAAGATTGTCTTTAGTGTTATTTCTCGTAGATTAAAAATTAACAGTGTTGCACTAAATAAAAATGACGAATTATTGGACATTTGCTCTCATGACATTACCTTTATCATGGTCGCTCTGCTAGCTTGTTGTTATCGAATAATACCTACTATATTATATTATATTGAGCTATTTAAGAATAACAATGTTAAGCTTGTTGCTAAATAATTAAATTAATAAAAATAAAGTTGTGTAACTTAACACGCTTATAAAATTTACTTGTTAAAATAAATTCCTTTAATTGAGACCCTCCTCCTTGATGACTTTCCTCCTAGGTCGACCCAGCAGACACAACCAACGGCGCCGTCGGAGTCTTGGACCAGACTGGCAAAATCAGGGCCGTGACAGCTTCTGGGATCCAGGTCGTCTCACTGCCAATAAGAGGTGAGTGGGTCAAGGACGAATGCTAATTATGTCGCATTTGGAGATGGCGTCGGTGGATCGTCGAGCGTGAGATCTTAATCACCCCCCCCCCTCGGGAACACCCCACACCTTCCGGCGTAGCCGACCGCCAGTCCGTGCAG